AGCTACGACCGGCGCTTCACTTCTGGGGAGACGGAGCACCCCACTCGCCTGCACCTCGAGCCACCTGTGGGACAGCAGCACCGCACAGGGGCGAGGCTCAGGCAGCAGCTGGCCTCATCACAGTCCACGCCGACAGGGACCTGGCAGGGGACCTCGGAAGCAAGGTCAGGGTGCTCATGGGGTCATCCAGGTGACAGGACTGGGACAAGTGTGACCAGGCCCTGGGCTCCGGCTCCACCCAGAGACAGGTGTGAGACTATGCCCTGCCATGCAGAAACCACAGGGCAAGGGGAACAGGACTGGGCACGTAGGACAGACGCTCCCCTCAACGGCTCCCAGGTCTCTGTGACAGAGCCCACGTGAAACCTCGGGAAAGGGCCCGTGCAAACCCCTCCTCTCCTCAGGAGTCCCTGCAGGCTCAGCCCATCCCTGCCTCGCCCCTCCCCCACACCCTTCTTGGGTTGGCCCAGGACCAGGGCTGCCACCAACTTCCTGGGCTCTAAGGAACCTGACGGCCTGGCTTTTGGGAAGATGCTTTGCACAGGTAACAGCCCTGCCTTCGAAGCCTCGTCTCCAGTGGGAGGGGAAAAGGATGTATTTTCATTCACTTTCAAGTTAAAAAAAACCCTTTGTCACTTGAGAACCCCAAGAAACTAACAGCCCTCCCCTGGCTACTTCTACAGAAACATACAGATTATTTCCATGCACTTCGGGTCATCTGATCCTGGCACCGGGCAGCAGAGACAAGTGCCACGAGTCTCCTCTTACAGCGGTCGGGCAGAGGCAGACGCATGCCGGCCCGGGACAACCTGCTGGCGCCGCGCCGCTCCCAAGACACAACCACCCCACGTGCACCCCTACGCTCCTGGGCTCCACGGGCACAGCAGGTGGAAGTGGAGATGGTGAGTGGCAGGCAGCTGCTGCCTTAAAGGACAGGGAGGCCCACACCTGTCCCCCATGGACCTGTGACGTGTGTCTCCAGAGAGCAGGTGGGTATGACACCTCAAGAGTAAAGCCAAAGGCTGGTGAGACAGCTCAGTGGACTAAAGCACCTGCTCAGGCGAGCGCAGGGTCTTGGCTCATTCCCTGGCATCACAGGCGGTGCCAGCCCAGCCCCTAGGGCAGGCTAAGCTGGCCAGAGTCTGGGGGTGTAGTGGTGTAGGCCTGTAATCCCAGCACTGGGGAGGCTGAAAGCAGGAGCATCAACACGAATCCGAGCTGCATAGTGAGACCCTGCAACAACCAAGTACATTAAAAATAAATAAATAAAGCCAAAGGCAGTTGGGAAATATTGTGCAACAGGGACGGAAGAGGGGTGGATGCTCGCTAAACACACTCAGAACAAGACTAAAAATGCGCTAAGGGACCACACCCTTGAGAAGGACCAGGTTCACAGGAGAAGGGTGACCACAAATACCCAGACCCAAACAGCCCGGAGCCTCCCAGGTCAGCTGTGCCCTGCTCCACTTTCACAACGTGGAGAAAGAGTTGAAGGGTGGGCCCAGAGAGGCCAGGAACCACCCTGTCACCGACCAACCCTAGGCTCTGGCACTGGTCCAGCGGCTGCCCAAGAGGGACAAGGCAGCCCCAGCTCTGCCCAAAGAACTGACGGGCACGGTTCGCAGCCCACTGCCCCTGGGTCAGCCCAACCTGAAAGGCCTGTCTCCTTTCTGTGCGAGAGGAATGGGTCACATGGCTGGGAAGGACCTGGCCACTAGGATGGCCAGAGCAGCCCTGCATGCCCCAAAACAGCACACCTCAGGCAGCAGGGCCACCAGACAGGGCTGGGCCAGCACCCCAGGCAGGGACCCCAACAGGCAGAGAGGCACGGAGTGCAGCTCACTGTGTTCACACGCTGGCAGGCGCCCCACTCCCCTGAAAACGTCTGGGCCACCACAGGGGCCGCCATCCACTCACCCGGGAAGACTGGCTCTGAGAGCTGACTGAGGCCCCTGCCCGAAAGCAAGAGCTTGAGCCAGAAAGTCGGTGCATTGAGCGAGGGACTGCCGACAGCAGCTCTCCAGAGCGGGGCTTTTCTACCTAAGCCGTTTCTGCATTCCGAAATGATCCTGAAGACTGTGTTCCCAACACAGGCCCTGGAGGGCATACTGTCACTGATCCTTCTCACTCCCCTTATCTGCTTGTTCTAAGACATGCTCCACGGAAAGAGAACCCAGTGGTTCAAGTGGCCTCACCCAGGATCCTGAGAGATGACTCTCACCACTAACCCCCGCAAACAGTAAAATTCCCTTCAGCAGGGACCAATGTGGCTCTTGGTTACGTCTGTCCTGACAGGTTCAGGTGTCTGCAAGGCTGGCTGAGGAGCACACTGGACTCATGGGGAAAAGCTGGACACGACCCTTGTGGAACAGTGACACACACACACACACACACATAGGAAAGTGTGGACACCAAAGCCAAGGCTGGCCAGGTGGGGGCAGGGGTAGCACCTGCTCAGGAAGGGTTGGGGTCCCCAAGCCCACAGCTGCACCCTCCTCTTGGGCTGCATACCACCCACCACCACACTGACCACTCCGCCATCACCCTCTTCTAGTCTGCACCCAGTTCAGCATGAGGTCTGCTCAACTCTGGCTACCTTCTAGAACCTTCCATGATACACTGAGTTTACTTGTTGGTGACTGGCCTCCCCGTCCTAGGTGAGCTACAAGGAGTGAGACTTGGGTCTCTGCAGCCCACGTGGCAGGCAAGATGTCAAGGAACACACGGGAGTCCTGAGCTGGAAACCCACGCTGCAGCCGTGGTGGTCAAGGTAAGGGAGGGAGGGCCCCCGGGGCGGGACAGAGGCACCAGGCAGGAGGAAGGAAGCCATTCCTGCAGGGTAGGTGACGTCACCCCAGACAGGAAGAGCAGCTGGGCACCCAGAGCACCGTTGCAGGACTGGCCCCTCTTCAAAGGGGGCAGCCACCCCAACCCAGAGGATGGAGTAGGGACTCCCCAGGGCCTGAGATGCGGTGTGCCCTTCACCCAGCACCTGCCATAGGTGGGGGCCATGTACAGTTCAATCCTTGCGGGGGTCCAGATGCCCTCTCACGCGGTGAAAGCGGTGTGCAGAGAACCAGTACTCAATCCTGCGGGCAGCACTCCCACTGCTGCCAGACGCTCACCGCTGCGACCTTCTACTGTGCGTGTCTCAGATGACGTCCACGTGAAAGCAAAAATAATGCCCTATTCAATCTTGCTGAATTTCCAGTGCTGTAAAAATTACTTTCTATTGATTTGCGCTGTAAATAAATAGCGCCTGTACCTGCATTTAGCTGGGCTAACAGAATGTTTGTGAGTGAGACGCAGAACTCTCACGTCCACCTCGTTCCTGTCAGACCAGGGCCAGGACCCAAGAGCAACTTTCGCCATAGGTTTCAGGGCCCAACACATTTACAAACAGGGCACCTGCAGGAGCACACATATCTGCAGCCGGCACAGGGCCGTGTGATGGAGCGAACAACGTAAGCCTCTTTGCCGAGGTCGTCGTGCTGAGCCTCTGGCACAAGGTAAAAGCATCTGGCTGCGTCTGTTCTAGAGGAACAGGCATTCAAGAGGTTCTTAAGGCAGGGTGTGACGCAGCACTGGAATGTCAAGGTTAACAAATCCAGGCTGGTGGCGCATGCCTATGATCCCTGCCCTCTGGAAGGATGAGGCAGGAAAACTCAAGTTCAATTCTGCCTGGGGTAATTTTGCAAGATCTTGTCTCAGAATAAGAAAAGCTCAGCTGGGGATATAGCTCAGTGTGAAGGCCCTGGGTTTAATCCTCAGTACAGAAAAAAAAGTTAACTACACAGACTACACCGAAACAGACTACTGGAAGAAGACGCACGGCCCTGACGACAGCGCACAGCAAACCTGCCTGACTGCTGGCTCGTTAAATCTGTGTTAATTATAAACTTCACAAGTCCACTCAAAGGACAGCCAAACTGTGGAGACAGAGCAGCCACTGGTCTGGGCTATCCCCTCAGGAGCCACTTACTTCTCGGGCCTGGAGGCCTAGGCGGTTGAAGTGGTTTCTCTTAGCCCTGTGGGGTAAACTGAGGCTCCTGTGTCACTGACACGGGACTTGGAAGCACACCGCAAGGTCACGCCACATTCCTGAGTTTCCTAAATGGGCCATGTGAAAGGTCAAGTGCAAGTCCACGAGAACCCACGTGTGTGCCACGAGGGCTGCCGCTCTGTGACAAACCACCAATAAAATAAGACGTACAGGAACATGAACACACTGACAACAGTTGAGCCTTTTTAGACGTGGTAAAGCAGGGAGTGGTGGGCGGGGCTGGAGAGATGGCTCAGTGGTCTAAAGCACCTACTTAGAACAAGCTTAGCAAAGCATCGGGGACCGGCCAAGAGTTTGAGGCCAGCTACATAGTGAGTTCAAAGCCAGTCTGAATTACAGGATGCAACACTATCTCAAAATAAAAAGACCTTGTCTCTAAATAACAGAAAGAAATTATAATGTAACAGTTTGTTTCAAAAATAATTAACTACTGTCTGGAAAATATCCTGCAGATTTTTAAAAATCTGACACCTTAGAATGTTATGAACATGCTGGTGCCAGTCCACCGCAGGGTCACAAAGGGCCTCTCTGCTCTCAGGCAACCCTGCCAGGGCCTGTGCCACACAAGCTGCCACAGTGACAAGAGTGACCTGGGCACTGCCTCAGAGCCAGGGCTCTGCCCTCCATCTCTGCACAGCTCTGTCCTGACAAGACCCCGCAGCAGCTCCGACCATCCTCAGACAAGGATGCTGAGGCTGGTGGGGCTGAGCTACCTGTTTCAGGTCCCACAGCTTGGAATGCGGCAGAGGCGAGGGCGGCCGCGCCAGCCAGGCCCACCTGCCTCCTCTACAGTCATCACCAGCGCTCTCCAGCAAGGGGCTGGACTCTCTGGTTATGTCCGCGGTGCCATGGTGGGGCACACAGGCCGCTGGGCACTGAGAAGCAGGTTGCCTGGGATCACACAAAACTGCTGTGCAGCCAACCACAAATAAAATACCTGTAGCAGTGTTTCCAGGGCTTTCTTCATCTTGTGTTACCTTCATGGTTTGGAGGGAACTGGGAAGCTTTCTCAATCCCAGGAATTCCAACTATGTGAGTGCTACCAGGAGAAAGGGCATGTTCACTCACTTTTAGAAAACAAGGAAATATGGATATTTTATCCTAGACTCCTTAATTTTCTTCTAATAAAGGAGGTATAATTTAGTCTATGTATTAGAAGATAACTGAGTTATAAGAAAACATCATGAATGTTTATGGAAAGACTCAGATTAGGGTAGCAGCCACAATGCGCAGGGCTGGGGTGGTGCTGCAGCCTGCCAGCCAGTCTCGGTGGGAGAGGAGACTCAAAAGACAGGGACGGGCTGGAGAGATGGCTCAGTGGTCTAAGGCACCTACTTGGAGCAGGCTTGGCAAAGCACAGGGACCTCGGTTCAATCCCCCAGCACCACATGCCAGCCAGCCCCGCCCCCTGGTAGGCTGAGCTGGCCACACACACACACACACACAATAAATAAATGTAAAAAATAAATTAATTAATTTAAAAAAAAAAGACAGAGACATCACCAAATGGCGCACTAAGCAAAGTTCACAAAGGTGCATCTCTCCAGGTTGGACCCAAGGTGTGGTTTCACCAGGGTCACAAGATGCCAACAGGGAATTAAAATGTCAAGTGCTTGAAAATGTCCTAGGCCAGTGCGCCCGGGACAGCCCCAAAGCCTGCATCTCCCAAATGGACCTGAGCCAGGACCAGGCTGGGAAGGGGCCTGGTGGGGACCTAGGAGGCCCAGGACAGGACGACCCTCTGCCTCACGGTCTTCACACAGCCCCATGCAGGGACACCCCACAACTCCACTCTCTCCTCCATCACACCTCAGAGTGGAAGGCAGCAGGGGAACTGCACGGGCAGGAGCACCGAGGGGCCAGAGGCCTCAAACCTTCCTTCCCAGGTTCCCAGACCCGCTTCTCAGAACCGCCCAGGGCCTTCACTGCTCCATGGCAGCGACAGTCAGTGCTACGGGAGCTCCTACTGCCCCTCACTGCAGGGAAACAAGTGTCACTGACAACTGCTGCTGTGGTGGCTCAGGAGGGACCCAGGCTGGCTCAGGCTGGGGTGAAGGCAGGCCAGCCTCCTGGGGTGCACGGAGCCCCCCAAACACACTCATTGCACTTTCACACAACTTGTACTCACACTAACACACTCACACACACACTCTCACACACTTACACACACACACACTCTAGGAGCCCAGGCAGGTGAACTGGGGCAGAAGGACTGATCCGGTACAATTTCAGGTCGTCTACTCAAAGAGGCAAGAAGACTGCCCGGGCTGATTCCTGCTCCCGGCACAGACGGTCCCACAGGGATGCCCTCCACGCTCTCAACCTGTGACTGGCTGCTGACCCTCAGCTGCTGCCGGACAAAGGCTCCTTGTGCTGGACACAGCGGCCGGAGCGCTGTCCCCGGGACTTGCTCTCGCCTCTGCACACACCCGGGTTTGCACCTACCGCCAGCTGGGGAGCTCTCTTCAGAGCGGCTGCAGACTAGAACCCCCTGAGCCCTGCCCTGCCACCCACGAGGAACCGCGCCTCTCCTCTCCACCGGCCTGAGCCCAAACTTCACATCCAGATACCCGGGGCCGCGCAAAGTCGCATCACACCCGGCTCTCCCTCAGCCTGGAGCAGAGCCTCCGCCTCCCCTGAGCGCGTGCTAGGATCCCCCCACGGGGGCCGCGAGGACCCCCGACTGGACGGGAGCAGGGGCGCGCGCGGCGGAGATCCTGCGCGGAGAGCCGGCGGCGCGGGCGGCGGCCCGACCCGCGCGTTCCTCACCCCG